CAGAGGATGGAGAAGACTGTCATGAAATGCTACCATCCAGGTCTGACATTCCCAAACTCTTTTACAATCTAGTAATATGCTCCCACACAACTTCACTAACTCTCTAACCTCGGTATCCTGAAGTATGCTGAGAGCCTGTTCAATTATTCTGGATTGGTCAAATATGTTTCTTCACTAAGAAAAAAAAGGCCTGAAAAAAGGGGAACTAGTTAATAGAATTTCAACTACAGAAATAAACGTTCATGAATTGTTAGTTTAATATTCTGCCTATTGCCTGGTGAGTCTTATTTTTTTTTAAAGATTTTATTTATTATGTATACAACATTCTGCTTCTACGTATATCTGCACACTAGAAGAGGTCACCAGATCTCATAATGGATGGTTGTGAGCCACCATGTGGTTGCTGGGAATTTAACTCAGGACCTCTGGAAGAACAGTTGGCACTCTTAACCTCTGAGCCATCTCTCTAGCCCCCCCCCCCCCCAGAGTCTTATTAAGGAATAAACCTCCAGGCTAGTGAGTCCTGGTAAGTGCAAAGGTTGGGAATGTCTGCTCCCTTGCACACTATGTGGCTAACTTCTAGATGTCATAAGTCTCTTCTGGACTCAGCTCAGGTTTCTTCACTGTCAAATTCTCCTGTCTTTTCTAGTCGAATGGCAGAGTCCACAGAAAAGCCCAGATATTCTGGGAATATTCTGAAGATGATATTTACAAGCACAAAGGACATCACGTGAGTAGAACAGTGTTAGAAACCAAAGCTTTGCTAGTCCCTGGTCCTTCCTCAAGTGTGCTACAGTAAAGAGATGTCCTTCAGACTCCAGCATGCTCCTTTACTCATAAGCACAGCTCACAGGGACACAGCACATCTTCCTTATCTTGGACTCCCGGATGCTTTGGGTGGAGCAACCAAGCCTAACAGAGCTAGTGAAGACGAGAAGTTAGACTGTGGGAAATGCACACGTTGTCAAATAGGACAACTCTCACATGGCAGATTTTGAGTGGTCAGTTAGATTCTAAGTCAAGAGAGGGGGGGAGGCCCAGGTCTTTGTGTATTCAAAGGGAAACAGGACATTCAGTAACAAAGATTGGCTAAAGAAGTCCCCACAAACAGCCTTAATCTTTTTATTACTGAGATATAGACCTAGAATCATCATCTGGTTATATCTCTGAGTAAATTGCATATGTAAAATAACACAATTGAAATGTTAAAATAAGCTACTGCATCCTCCAGAATTCAGCTCAAGTAGGAAAAAATTTAATGTAACACTGGCATACTTTCCCTAGACTGGTCTTATATCCTTTCTAAAGGTGTTGGAATCTTTTAAAATCATTATATAAAATAAAATGTGCTACTCTTATACATAAGAAAATTACTTCCTTAAAGGAGTCCTTCCTTCAGGACATAAACAACCCTCTAGGCATCTTTGGAGTACTAGTAAAAATACACTGTAGTACAAATATGACAGTATGGTATAACTTTGTGACTAACTATTGCAAAAATTCCTCCCAGGGAGTTAAGTAATGTCTCAGTCAATTATCAATACCAAGGACAAATACCTCCTGAAGGTCCTGCTGCTCAAGATGCACTGAGAGCCAGCAGCTGGAAACAAGACAGTGATTACCGAGCAGAGCAGAGAAAGGTTTCTCTCTCACACTTAACACTTCACTATTTTTCCCTCAGTGCTGATGATTGAAGCCAGAGCATCACACATGCTATCTAAGCAGCAAGTATCTACAACTGAACCCCTAGCTCCTCACTGAACCCTTCAAAATATTTGCAGGCCAGGGGTGGGGGGAGTAATGATCAGTAAAAATTACCCCGTGCCATTAAAACTTGCTGAAGAACAGGTATTATTTCTCTGTGCTAGATTTCTGTAGAATTTCAGGAATGATTTTCTGTTTCAATGATGCTCAATGCAAGTGGAAGGATCAGCAAAATTAGTTAAGAATTCACCTTTGTAGGTGGAGGTCAATTTTGGGATGGGGACCATGTCTTAACTTGTCATTCCTGTTAGCTTCACTTTACATCTGTCTCTCTGAAGCACAGTCAGTACTAGATACAGCACGGACTGTCTCAGTCAAACATGTAACTGTCGTTGGAGGAATATTAACTAGGATCACCATCCAAGTCTGTAAGCCAGAATGGAATTGAGAAAATCAAGACTGGTCAAAGTTTAGAAACTCCTCCTTCACCCGCAATGCTTCATAATTACTCATCATTTTAAATGGAACAATGTGGGATCCAGGAACAAACAAGAGATGAAATCAGGGTTGGTGAAGTGTGTGTGCAAGCATGAGGACCTGAGCTCCATTCATAGAGCATGGAAACAAAAGCCAGCACAGTGTCACACGATGGTAATCCTAGTGCTGAAGTGAAGCACAGGAGACAGGTGGATCTACAATGCTCACTGGCCAGCCAGGCAGGACTAATAGGTGAGCTTCCGGCCAGTGAGAAACCCCGGGATAAAGGAGGAACAACGTCTGAGATTGCCTTCTGACTCATACACGCATGTGCCTGCACATACCACACACACACACACACACACACACACACACACCAAACACTTTTCTCAGCACCAAACTGACTTGACCACTGTGGGCTCCATACCCGTATATAGTTTGAATGGCTAGGAAGCTTTGCTGATGCCCCAGCTGAGGCCTTGCCACTCACTGGTGCCTCATTCTCTTGTAAAATAAAGATGTTGCTCTCACAGGTGCCCTTTGCTCTCTGCATATCAATTTTTCATTCTTTTGCATCATTCTCACTTATAAATATGTCTGGAATCTATTTCATTTTTAAAATCTTTCCCTTGACACTAAAAGACCCATACCTATCACCTCATTTCTCTGCTCTACTTTCATTTCTCAAAAGGGCTGCTCTGAGCCTATTCTCTCCCCAACCACACTATGCAGTCTGTGTTCTCAAATTCTACTAGAACTGGACCAGCTGGCTAAAGATCTGCCTGCCAAATTCAACAGGTTTGGTTTCCACCTAATGCCCCCTCTTGGCAAGGCCTGAAACAAAAGCTACTCACTTCCCCTTCCTTGAGGAAGCACTTTTGAGAGCCTCATGCAGTTGTACTTCAATTCTCCTGTTATCTCACTGCTGCTCCTTTTAAGACTCTTCGGTTGCTGTGCCTACCTCTTTCCCATCTGGAACTGTTGTCATGGCCTTGGGTTCAGTCTTGGGACTTCCTTATTTCAGTGTCTGTCACAACCACGCATCTAGCTGCTTAGTAGGAAAAATCTAGTCACATCTAAGTCTCATTCCACAAACGCTGAAAAACCCTACTGTCATATAGATCCCCAGTGTGTCTACTTGTCATTGCCCTGCCACTCGTACATGGTTCCAGCCAGGGTGCTTGTGTTGGCTAGTTTCTATGTTAATTCAGGCTAGAATCCTTTGGCAAGAAATAATCATTGAGAAAACATCCTTACCAGATTGACCTGTGGAGCATTTTTTTTGTTAGTGACTGTTGTGGGAGGGCCCAGCCCTCCCACTGTGGGTGGTGCTGCCCCTGAGTGGAAGGTCCTGGGTTCTATCAGAAATCAGGCTGAGCAAGCCATGAGAAGAGAGCCAGTAAGCACCCCATCCCCATAGCCTCTTCATCAGCTCTGGACTCTAGGTTCCTGTCCTATTTGAGTTCCTGGCCTGACTTCCTTCATTGGTGAAGAGTGATGTGGAACTGTAAGCTGAAATAAACCCTGTCCTCCCCACGTTGTTTTAGGTCATGACACAGTATCACAGCAATAGAAACCCTAACTAAGACAGTGGTCTCTTGCCAGACCACTGCTACCATCTCTATCTGCACTTCTCTCCTGCCTCCTCCAAGGCAGCCACAGAAATATTTGAAAACCGTGGAAGGCAGATATTGCTCAAATGTTCCCATGGCTTCTCATCATACTCCAAATGAAATCCAAACTCCCCACAGTCTGTAGTATCATTGGATAGGATTAACCTCTCTGATTCATTCCTGTCAACCCTCCCCAGCCCACACCACTCCAGCCACAGCCAATCTGTGGCAGCCTCAGGGAGGCTCTGGTGACGGCCTGAATACAATTCCCTTACCGGCTGTGGAACGGGATCTTCCTTCACTTCCTTCAATACTAATTCAAGTATCAGTTCCTGAGAGTCCTCTACTATCAGCCTGTCTAAAAGGAGCTCTGTGTAAAACATCCCTCCACTGACAATCAGAAGAGCCAGCTCTGTGGATCGTGAAAACAATGGTCATTGCCTCATCTTAACTCACACTGATTTTCACACAAAGAAATTCTTCACTGCCTTATCCCGAGCCTTCGGAACAATGACATTACAGAGCATTTGTTCTAGAAACATGACATAATAAATGAGAAAGCATTAACTTCTGTTCTTTTTTTTTTTTTTTTTTTTTTTTTTTTTTTTTCTAAAGGGGGTTTTTTTTCTGGCCTCGAACTCACAGAGATCCGCTTGCCTCTGCCTCCCGAGTGCTGGGATTAAAGGTGTGCCCCACCAACGCCAGGCTACTACCAAGGAATGAATGTTAAATGAATTATCTGTAAAATAAAGCAGATATATTCCATACTCTGGTCACTGCCTTCACCCTTGCCCTCTTAAGTCCCATTCTTTTTATCATTCTTCTATGTAGCTGGGAAAACCTCAGCTACTCCCTATCCCTTAACAACACACACAAATAAAAGGACAACACAATGTGTTGCCTTTCACAAAGCCCGTGTCTGCACACCCAAACACATGGCCTGTCCTCATGACCAATGCCTGGAGCCTCACTACTTGGATCTCTGATTTTGACAACTTAATGATGAGGAATAGAGTTCATATCCTGAAGCTTAGAAGAACAATATGTGCCAGAGGAAAACTACTTGTTATAAACTGTAAGTCTGGGTGTGGAGTTCAATAGTAGAGAACTTTTCTAGCATAGACGAAGCCCTGGGTTCCATCCCAGCACTGGAAATAGAAAACAAAACAAAAAGTCAAATATAAAAGAAAAGCTAAGCAAAACATTTTTGTTTGTTTTATTCCCCAAAAGTACAAAGTGAATAGAATACAAAGAGTAAAAGAGCAGCATACTGTACAGAATATACAATAAATTATACACATCTAGAAGTTAAAAATTATATGAAATTACATTTGGAAAAGGGAGGATCACAAATTTTTGGTGACTAACCACATCTAGGACCTAAATAACGAAGAAACATTTTCTCCTAACAGTTTGTGGCTAGCTCATTCTGATAACCACCAAAGTAATGTAAAAATCCCACTTAACTCAGCTCCTCTGCTCCTGTAGTTCTCTAGTCTCAATAAACACACTTGTCCTGTCTCACAAAGACACACATCCAGTGAGAAGAATCCTCAGGAGTGTGTTCACACAAGAACATCCACGCCACCCCTTCCCTCTCTAGTTTCAGCAGGGCTCCATCCCTCTGCTCCAGGCAGTAACTCAGTCGGGGATGAGGCCCTGTCCACAAGTCTATACTTTCTATGACCCAGGCCAGCGAATGAATGAAAATCTCCTCCTCCCGCTCTTCCTCCTGTCTTCTATTGAGTGTAAACAGTCTCCTTCAACGTCCCAACTGGTCTTAACTGAAAACTTCCCATTTGTGTATCTTGCAGAATGGCCAGTTTGACTGTGCCACTGAGTTTCTTGCCAAGACACTTTGTTTCAAATCATTCAAATCATGGCCTTGCTAGAGGATGGCCCCCATGTTGTTTTCACAATCACTGACAATAAACACTCTTTTTGAAAGTTGTGAACACTTGTTTATCTGAAAAACATTTCTCTTTAAAGGCTTTGTAGTGTAAAGGGAAGATACAAAATAGAAGATTAAAGAGAGATAAGGAAGAATTGTCAAAACCACATTTCCCCGATCAGGAAATCCTAGCATGCCTCGCTGGCTGTTTGTTTCCAACTTGAATGAAGTCTGTGAAAGGACAATTAGAATTGTCCTTGTGTTCCAGTGGCTCATACAGGAAAGAAACAGGAAATCCTGATGGAAGCTTGGGCTTCACAGGATACTTGTGAGTATTTATCCTGTATGTTTGAAGTTTCTCTTCCACATTTGTACACTCTGTGCCCGCCATTTGTCCCATGACATTTGTTCTTTGCTTTCCTAACATCATTACAGCTCCCAGCATGATGTTTTCTATATGGGAGGGGCTCAAACACCAAGCCTGGAGAAGGAAACTGAGGCCCAGAGGGCACAAGTCTCTCACTGCCTCTGAATGTCAGTTCCTTCATGATAAAACATAAGGACTGACTGGCAAGTACTTCTGAAACTTTGCCAGTGAAGAATCTCCCAGCAGTGCAAATGACTTGTGCCCCCTCCCCATGAGGGGGGACCTGAGGCCACAACCCTAAGCAGACTGCAAACTGAATGCTTCTTTCAAATGTCCAATTCATGTTAAAATTTGTGAGAACTCTACATTTTACATAGCAGGAAAGTCTATGTTTGTTTTAATATGAATATTACCTCAATAGTGAAGCTACACGCTTTCTGTTAAAATAATGACATGAATCCAGCACTTCAGGAAGAATATAGGGAACCCCCCACAACCCTATTTGCTAACCACAACTCTGCCCCAGTGAGAGAAGTATAGGCTCGGCAGAAATGCTATAATCTCAGTGTCTAAATGTTTACCTTTGCAGAAAAGGAAGACAAAATAATGGAAAGCATGTGACATTTTGATATGAACGGTAACTGAGAAAGTAGGTGGAAGTGTATGAGAAATCTGGTGAGGCAGATACCTACAGAAAGAGTCCATCATGGCACAAGACAAGTGCACATCTCTCATGGAGAAGCTGAGATCAGATGAATAGAAAATCACAGGATGTTCAGTATGGAAGGGACCTTCACAAGGGGATAGCCCCAAATGCACAACATATCCTTACAATCCTCCCACCGGACACCTGAACATGCTCCACACTGGGAAAACGTACTGTCTCACAGATGTAACAGTGCACATTGTATAGTTCTCCATTAGAGAGCCATCTTAAAACAACTCCAAATGCATCTGGGTTCCACTTCTGCTCCAGGAACTCCACAGCAGTGTGTTTAAGGCGGAGCTTATGGGAACAGCTCAGGTTCTAGTGTTGGTCTCTCACCGACTCAGCATGGAACTACAGCTGGTGATGGAACCGGACATGCCTTGCATTCTATACCTAGAAGGTGGGGGAAATGAAAGAGATGCCGGCCTCACCAGAGCACTACGAAGATAGACATGCAGATGAACATAAAGACAGAACATGTAGAGAGCAGTGCTCGGCCCAAGGGAGGTCCTAAGAGCTGTAGCCTACAGTAGAAATGGAAGAAGATACTTAATTCTCTTTAGTTTTGTCTCTTTTTTTGGTGATATAATCTATTACTTTAAATATTCCCTCTGACATAATTCCAGACCCTACTATGTTCTATGTTCAAGTTTGTCAGTGTCCTGCATAAATATGACCTGATTTTTTACTGCTTATGTGACATAAGATGTAGACAGACTGGGGTCATAAACATCCTGGTCTATTGTCTTCTGGAACTGGTCTTTATGTTTCCTAGTCTGATTTTTTTCTGTCATCTTTACCCTGGCTTACCCTCAAAATTTTTGCAGCTGATATTCTAAACCAAAACACAGCAGTTTATGTTTAATCCCAGTAAATAATCTACTTAATTTCAGCCTATTTGAAACACCAGAAAATTCAGGCATTTTATCCTACATATTAACTGCCTATCTGAATTCTTAACTCCAGGAAGCTTGATTCTAAATCACCATTAGCGACTAAAAGACCCTTAACTGTCTCAGTTTGACACAAACCATTTAAAGATGGCTCTGAAAGCTGTCACTTAACTGGGAAGTTTTTCATAGTGCCTTCATGGTGGCCCTTGTCACATAGCTCATGAGAAGCAGAGAGGCTACCTCCACTCCCCTTTCCCTAAGCAACCACAGAGATACCTGGGTCAAGGAGGGAAATGAACTTGATTTAGTTGTATTAGTCTTGGGCATGCTCATGCTGGCATGTACAGTCACTAACGTGCTATCATTTCCCAAGATAAGCTTTCACAGTATAAACCTGCAATCTGTGGACTGGCTTCTGGACAGTATTGTTGTAATCAATAAAATTGTCTGCTAAGAAAACATTTCATAGTTTTTAATGTTATCACATTGGCAAATATTCTCCTAAAATGTTTGCTGCATATCCCCATCCCCTACATCTTTCCATTACCCTCCAATCCCAGGTTCCATTTCTTAATATAATATTCCATACTCCATTTGCAGTGCTCTTTTCCCAAGTAGCCTCTCTTATGGCATTAGGATTATGGAAAATATCCTCCACTGCTCAGTAGGCCAAGCATATTCCAGTAGAAATACAGATTATTAAGATGATATGTCTCCAAATGACTTTTAGATACCATTATATAATAATCAGAAATTGGCTAAGCCATCTTCTATTATGCAAATTCTCTTTTAAAAATCTGATTTAAAAATAACTCCTTTGAACTGAATCTCACAGTTAGAAAATAAATACCATGTTACCCAGATTTTGGCACCTTTGAAAACAACTACTAATGCTTTATCTTCTCTTTTCAGGCTTTCATACTTATTTCTACAATGTGTGTGATTTGAATTTATTTTCTATTTTAGTAGTACACATTTATCACTTAAAATAATATAGATGTTCTATATTTTCTATAGTTTCTTGGCATTAATGGCTTAATGTTTTAAGTATTCATGTAATACACATGCTGATTTGTTAATTTCAAGTAAAATGGGATACCTAGGACATGATGTCAAAGTCTGTATTCATTGCACTCCTAACCTACAAGTCTGTTTTCACACCATATAAATGTGTAGCCTTTCAAAAAGTTTTGTTGGAATTTATATAACTAACTTCACAGTATTGATACATGTCCTTTAATTTTACACAACTCAGATAATCTACAAAGTGTTCTAAGATGTAATTTATTCCTCTTATCAATGTAGCTTGTAAGTCTGCATGCTTGACATTCTATTGCATTAGCTAAAGTGTAATTGATTTTATCTGCAACTTTCTATTACTCCAAATAATCTACACACACACACACACCCCTTTTGCACACATGTGTAATGAGGCATAGGGGAGGTTCCCTCCTCTTCTCTTCCACTTGATGCAGTTCACTGGTTTCACTGTTCTTACTACTCTAATACACAATATAGCTTGTGACTCTGAACAGCTCATTGAACAACTAGGATTAATAATAAATATATATATATATATTTTATTATATATATATTATCTATATATACATATATATAGATATTATATATATATATTATTTAGGGTTCAAAATGATATACTAGATTCTAGAGAAATAACAACAGCAAATAATGCAGGCTGAAAAGGTGCAATGGCTGATAAAAGCCTTGAGCACAGGTTAGATCTCACAGGGTGGGCATGAGTTGCCTGTTCAGAACAAAGCAAGATTGTCAGATTTTAACAAGAAAGACCAATTCACTCTCTTTTTAACTATATGCGATTATTCCATCCCTATGGAAGTAACTCAGGCAATTATTTTCACTAATATATTAAGATTAAAACAACAACCCTCAGGACACACACCAGATCAGGCTTGCTTTTTACTGAATTCAAGTAAAACACTAATTGCTATCAATTAGTAGAGGAAATAAAATCCAATGATCATAAGGGATTAATTAGTTTTGATATAGTACCTGCTTAATGGAGCTTAAAGTATAATTTAAAAATTATTCTTATTTTATGATTTCAAAGATTTAAATATCTTTAGAAATAAATTTATTAACCTGTGCTACAAATCCAACTAATGCTTTCCCAGATGTTAAGGACAAGCAAATTAGATAAATAAAAAAATTAATAGTAGCTAACTATTCTGGGAGACTTTTAAAAAGAGAAGAACTTTTGACTTTTAAAATTTGAAATCCTTCCATCACAGTTTGGGTCTATTTCCCTGCTCCCAGAGCTTGGAACCTTCTCCTACATTTTGCCTATCCTGATCTTACGTCAGTAATGTTTCTCCCAGCTTACTCTCTTCTTGAGGTCGTGTAACTTGCTGCTCAGTCTGAATAGGATGCTGTGCCTCAGAGATGTCTTGGAAGTTCCCTCAGTGTTCAAGAGACCTCTCAGCAGAAACTCAGGCTTCCCTGATCACTCATCTGTTCATGCTGACAACCAGACTCCTGCCCTGCACTGGGCAAAGCCTACAGCCATGATCTTTTTTCCCTCAACACACTTTCCAGAATCAATTCAACTCTTATTCATGTATTCACTGTCTATCAAGACCTAGAACTTATCAGCAACGTGACTTGTCAATGCCCTGTGCTGTTAGCAGAGGCTGAGGCATGCAGGTACCCAGTACTACCTTGTAAATGAATGGGCAACTCATCTTAGGGCTAGAGGGACTCAGGAATCATAATCAAGTTTTCAATTAAATATTCAGAATAACAAACCATCAGAACAGGCTTCAGTAGAACAATAAAACTCTTGTATGGGGGTTTCATTACAACATATTACTTTAAATATTTCATATATTAGTGGTCATATATTGATTTTAGAGATTCTGTGATTAAGAGAGGGGTATATTCCTATTGAAAATTAACAGATACCCTGAAAAAACGAAAGGCTGACCTGCTGTTCATATCTGTGCTTGATGTCTTCTAGCTGCCACAGGAACTCCTTGGACTGCTTCTCACGAAGAGACTTGGATCTAGTTAGATCTGCCTCCACCTTTTCCATCTGTGAAGTTCACAAACAAATTTTTAAAAACTTGTATTTCAAACCTTAAATTTTCCCATCTTTTAAAATTCCAGACCTTAAACACCTCAACAATCAGCAATGAAGTAAGGTTAATAAAATAATGAAACATACATCAATTTATTTTAGTACATTTTAATAATCCCAAGAAGGGAATTAAAATTGGCAAATGTTTATGTTCTAGTGTTATAACAACAATGAAATATACTACATTAATGAAATAAAGAGAAAAATCTATGTAATCACCTTAAGATCTTTAGGAAAAGCACAAGACAAAATTCATAATTTACTTTTTTTCTCTTAAGATGTGGCTTTTCCATATTTAGACCAGGCAGGCCTGGAATCCAAGGTTCCCCTCTTCTGCTTCCTGTTACTGGGACTATAGGAGTGTGTTGCCACTAGTATCTCCTCAAAGTCAGAATTTTTTTATTACTTAGAAACTGTTGACTAATCAGACATAGAAAGAATGTGCTATAACATGATAATGAGATTAAAAGCTGCAGGATACAAGATCAACTAGAAAAAAAATCAGTAGCGTACAGAGGATAAGAGGGCTGAGAAAGAATCAGAGAAACATCACCCTTTACAATTGCCACAAACAACATAAAATACCTTGGGGTAACAATAACCAAACAAGTGAAAGACCTGTATAGCAAGAACTTTGAGTCTTTAAAGAAAGAAATTAAAGAAGATTCCAGAAAATGGAAAGATCTCCCATGCTCTTGGATAGGTAGGATCAACATAGTAAAAATG